CCCTTGAACCGGTCCATTTTTAAAGCGTCGAATCATTTTTGATATCATTGAGCGTTAAAGCGTAGGTTTATTCATCATGATCTATTTTGTAAACAATACTTGCCTAGATTTTACTTGGATTGATCATAGTCACTGTTTGGCTACTCGCCTATAATGCGTGCTGAATGACAGACAACTTATAAATATTATCTGTGTTACTGTGTTTATGACCACGTTAAGTTAAAATAGAACGGTATCGGTGATTTAATCCATCCAACATATTTATATTTCTTCTTTTAAATCCAGTGTTAGGTTAACATCAAGTCAAAGCAAGCCTTGCAGATTGATTTTGTTTAAATTTTCGTAAATTAAGTAAAGCTAAGTAAAGCCTGTTTCTAGTTCATCCACACTATAAAACTGCATGAAGGATAACAAGTCTCTGAAGCCAATTAACTTTCACAATGCCGTGTGCTTTAGAGTCCCATGTTATACTGTACAATAAAATGAGTATGGCCTGAGAGAAATATAAATATGAGGCAGTGTATGAAGATGTTTCAAATAATTAAAATCAAGAATTTATACATGTTAGGTACATGCACATCACTTGATAAGTCATTTCACAAAAATGGCATCTAATTTTTCAGATAAACCCCCACTTTTATCGATCTCAACGCCTTGTCTGATGTTTACATGTAGGCGTATACTCCAATATTAATTGCGAACAATATCAATAGCGACTCGAGATCGTTGCCTGTTTTTCACACTTTTACACAAACTCATGAAGGGTTAATAAAAGGATTCGCGTTGCGACATCTATCTCTTTCTTTCGAACAAGCAAATTAAGGGCTGACCCGAAGTAAGCTTTCATAACTAATTTCTCTTTGACTGTACAGGGGTATATTGTAATTACTCCACTTGGTCGCCTCCATTGTCTTGTAACATTGACAAATAATGTGTTTTCACACGCTAGTTTACATAACTCCTTTGCCTTGTGTCTTTATCAAGGTTATAATCAGTTTGAATAGGTTGTCTTGCCTCACTTAAAAAGGGAGTTGTTCTTCACACTGGTTGTTGCCTACATTTGTGTAACTTATGCTAACCTACTTTGTACAAATATGGTTTTAATAAATCGCCAAAACTATGACACTAAACTATGAACATTGTGTATCAAACATTTTGATACGGTTAAATAAATGTGCAAGAAGGATTACGGAATGAATTACTATTTACCTCCCCCCCACGCGCCCTTCAAAAAATGCTCTTTTGATTTCGAAATGAATTTGTTTTTAACGCAAAGAAGTCCAATACATCTTTCACGACTCAGTCATTGTACAGCATGTTATATTACTCTTTACCCTTTTTATTTGACACTGTCTCTGTTTCTCTCCCCTTTTACTTTCTCTTGTTAGAAGGAGGGCAAATAAATAAGCATTCAAAATATGCATCACCAATCTTCAGAAAAGAATGAGTGAATGAACCATTGGGCTGATTCACAACGTCCGACACAGCAGAATAAATTAAATAACAGCTTTCACAGATTTAACTGCAGTTAGCTGTACAGCGTCACTATATACATAATCCGCTGCACGCGCGAAGCTGTTGAACAAAAGGGTAGTTCTCTAGGGAAGACCTTTTGTTTACATAAGTACTCTAAGGGGGCGTGCCTAACCAGGCGACAAGAGGATTAGGCTAGTCACTATATTCCGTCAAATTCGTTTAGCGACCCTATCATTATCACACTCCCTCTATTGTATTTTCTGACGTTATAATTGTATCTAATCTCCTTATGGTAGATGGAAAAAATGCACACATATATAATCTTATGACTGTATACTGGTACACCACAAATGTCATATTTTCCCATAAATATTGAAAAACAACAGGTTTTTAAAGGACGAAATAAAAATAAGAAACACTTCTCAGTGAATTCACAGTCCATTCTCATTGTCGCGGCACCACATTTGAATTAGCAAATTTAGTTTACAATTAGCAACGTGTGCAAACAATCCATTTGAAAGTATGGAACAAGTAATGCATTAAATGTAGATTTTAACCCCATAGAGCCCGTCACCGCATATGTGCGGTTCAATTATCGCTTACCCCAAACGCCCAGAACCGCATATGTGCGTATCTTGGAAAGATCGTCTTCTGTACTCTTTTGTATCGTGAGTCATAAAATGATATATAGTTTAACATCCGGGTATGTTTCTTGTCTCTCATTGCCACCATTTTTAAAGGCGATAAAAATATATATGAGCGAGAAAACGGCGATTTTCAAGACTTAGTTGGAGAAAGTAAAATCAAGATGGCGGCTCCTCACTACGGTAGGGACCTGCGAAGGGATACTGTTATTGAAATGATTGAAAACCCGGACTTTGATGAGACGTTTTCGTGTGACAGTGACATAGAGAGTGCCGATGATATTCATTTATTTATGATATAAAGGACGATAGAAATATATATGAGCGAGAAATCGACGATTTTCTAGACTTAGCTGGAGAAAGTAAAATCAAAACGGCGACTTCTCACTACGGAAGGGGCCTGCGAATGGGTACTGTTATTGAAATGATTGAAAACTACGACACTGATCAGGAGTTTTCGAGTGACAGTGATATGGACATTGGGGATGATATTCCTTTATTCATGATATAAGTTTTAAAGATGCTTTTGTCATAGATGGTGTTAAAATTTGACTTTTATTCAGCTCTGGCCACGAAGTTCAGGTGAGCTGAAAAGCTGGCTCAAGTAGGTATACCTGATAGCAAAACGAGCATAACTTGGAAATTAATAAAGATAACTTGCTGAAATTTCCTGGATTGAAAGTTACTATAATTGACATCATCTCTGTGAATTTTCAGGCAAATGTATGGAGAAATAAAAAATTGATGTGCATAAAGATAAATCAACTTTGTTTTTTTTCACCCTTACCAAATCAAAATGTAGTTTTTAACTGGCCATAACTCTTGATACTGCACGTTGAATTTAAATTTAATTCTATTTTCATTTAGCTTGAAATATTGGCTTTTTAAAAATGTATGCTTTGTATGGGTAATAAAGGCAAACAAATAAATTATGGCCAATTTACTGAAGTGACCCGGCTTTTCAAGGTTAGCTCACAGAATTAATTGGGCACAGCAGAACTTTATGGGTCAGCATTAACTGGATCCTATGGGGTAAAAATACATGTTTCTTTAAATTACTGGTTTATTTCACGTCATATTGGTGCAAACGTCTTTGAACATATTGAAAGGTTCGTGAAGTCGCCAGTGTCATCATTTGAGAAAATTAAATTAACACAAATTTCCTTTTTATCAGCAAAATGTAAATTGCAAGCGAGATTTTTGTAGGACTACTGGTGCATCCATGTCATGCGAAATTAATTTTCTATTCAAACCATTCATCTTTCGTATCTGTACATTAGTTGAACATGTTTTTGCCATCAGGTTTTTAGTAGGGACCCACGGAAAAAGGAAGAAACAGACCAGGAGAAGATAGGGAGCCTCATGCTGAGGGCTTTTCAACAGGTGGAGGCATTTGATCTCCCTATCCCAGGAGATGAAGAACTTTTGGCAGATATTGCAGCAAATGCTGACGCTATCAGACCTAAATTCAATGTGAGAATGGGAGAGTTTATAGAACACATCCTGTCTAGTCTAGAATGCAAGCGAGGGATGACTGTGGGCTCTCAGATAACAGGTATATTGTTTCATGGTGTATTTTGGTCATTTTCTTTGTAATGAAAGATGAGTATGTAACGTCATCTACCTGTAGACTGCAAATTGGTCTCAACCATATGAAATTGGTCTTAACATTAGAAAGTCACCCCCTTATCACCATTTCTAGGGGATCAGCTTGCTACAATGCTGCAGAAATATGTGGAAGCTGTGAATGATCCAGACACCATACCTGCCATGAAGAGTGCCTGGGATGCTAGTGTGGAGTTAAGGCGCAGGAAAATACTGGAAGACATGGTGGTGAAGTACAACACGGAAATGACGGTACGTGAAATATATTATGTATGTTTAGTTTACACAATCAAAAGTATCAACAAAGGGCAGATACAAGTATATGAATGGTGTTTGAAATTTGGCCGCTGTCAGCCACATTTATTGAAAGGTCCTGTAATAAAAGAATTGGGGTGATTTATTAGGTAACATTGAATAACTTTTGTTAATAACAATTGCGTGATATTTAGATCTAAAAAAATTGCATTAAGAACTGGTATGCTGACAGATAGTGCACGTTTCCATTTGTGGGCTTGCAAAGAGGACAAGATTTTTTTATTGACATCACAAAACAAAACATACATTTTTCACACTAAACACATATTACAACTTATATGCATCAGACACAAACTAGCATACAGTAGGCTCATTGGACATTAACGGCACTTAAAAAAGGGAGTGACAGAATACGTTGCACAAAAAAAAAAAAAAAAAAAAAAAAAAAAAAATTAGCTAATAAAATAGTTTTCACTCTCAGCACAAACCTATTCCTATTCTAATAACAATTTCAAACCACGAGACTAGTGACACAATGAAAGAGTTTTATTGTCATCCAGTAGACACCAATTTTTGCAACTTATGTGGTAAAACTCCAACGACTTACCTTGGTACAGACTGATTGTTACCAGGAATGTGGTATTGGATTTAGCAACAAATGTGCATGTTTCCATTTTCTAAAATTATGTAGACTTACTTATGTACTGTTAGCAATAATAGAGAAACAGACGCAAATGTACATGTATGGAGCAAATTAATACAGTACTCTGAAGGTAAGGTACTTTAATTTAAACTGACATTCGGTATGCATTGATTTAAGTCTGTAAGAATTTTATTACCCATAACCGTATTATTGTTTTAGAAAGCAATCGAGGAAGTCTGCCTCAGAGGGTCCGAGATGGTTCCCATGGAAGAAAGAAATGAAAAGTAAGATATGATTTTTCTGCAAAATATATACCGTTAGAGAATGCAAATAACATGCTTTTCATAGATAATTATTTTTATAAAGTGATTTAAATGTTATTAACACGGCAGCAAAGGTGCCAAATGTACAGAAAAAAAAAAAAAACAGAATATAATGATGGACAAAATATATTATTTTCGCAATTTTGATGTAATAATATGTTATGCATAACACCATAATCACCACAAATTTTCATAACATGGTAACAGTATCATGGATATTTAGAAAATGTGACTATCAAAGGCTTTAAGGCACATGAAAGTTCAAGGTAACATCTTAACATTGAAAATGCCAACTTAAACTTCCGAAAAAAAAAAAAAAGGAATTAACTTGGCTGGTTTTCCAACTCAAAGTGTATTTATACAGTCCTATTTTTCTTTTCTGAAAGTAATGAATAATCACCACCAATGTTTTATTATGCACTGCAGGTGACATAGATATTAAGAAAATATGAATAGCAGAGGTCTTCTGGCTCCTGGTAGTTCAAAGTCACACCTAGAAAATATCAATATGTAAAAGATGACCATTGCACAAAAATGCGTAACATTGATTTTAACTGGTTTTCCATTTCTAAAAATATTGACCAATCCTGTAAGTTTGAAGGCATTTAGTCGACCAGTTCATTTATTTAACCGGTTTATTCATTTATTTACTTAATAATTTATTTACAGATGGAATAGATATGTAAATTTAATTTTATCTTCCCCATAACCCCCCATTTCAACTTTTAATGTTATCTGTATTGATGTGAACTGAGAAAAGTGAAAAACAATATTAAGTTTGGAAAATGGTTAAATCAAACAGATTTTCGAACTCAACCTGTATTTTATAAATATCCAAGTTTGGAGACAAAAGGTAAAATGGTTTTCAACTCCTCGCGTTGTCTCTGAAAATAAATGACTGTGATAACAGACGTAGGTGACGGCTTTATTTACAGACAAGCATCAGTGGCTTCACATTAAAATTGATTATCTACCCTGTACAGGGTACATGTACATTCAAAACATTGACAGAAATATAAAGCCTTGAAAGATATAAAACGTATTTGAGCATTATCTCAATTTGAATCAACATTTTGTGGTTCACTTATGGCATAATAAGAAGAAATAGGATTGAAAAACAATAAATATAAACATTCCCTTATTTTCAGAACATCTGGAACAAGTTTAATGAGTATCCACGATGCCGTAATGGACAATGTTCACAACGAGTTGAACAAGCAGATCGGGTTCTTAGGATATGATGACGACAATAAAGATAATCCAACCCTTATCTTGAATTTTAATGAAAAAATAGGTAAGCAAGAAAATAATCAATTTGAGCATGGAATATTTCGAGCTTAGCATGTGGCCACAATGTTTTAGTATACGGTCAATTCAAAGGTTAAAAACCAAAATATACCTTAAGGCTATTAATGTTAAGGGTAAAAATATGGCCATACACATTGGTTGAAACTATAACGAGAATATAAATAATATATTTATTTAAAATATAAAATCAATTTAAAATGTTAATTAGACTTAACATAAAACAAGTAATGAAAGTATTTAAGAACACTACCCAGATATATGAACAAAACCTAAACATTGTGAAGATGCTAGATTACAACAAACTAATTCTCAAGTAAAACCAATAGCAGGAAAGGTAATTAATAGTCAATTTCCTAAAAAAAAAGTTTTTTAAACATGTGGTTTAAATTAGGAATGCTGGGACAGACCAGATCAGACCAGTGAATCGTTTTTGTGTTTGCTTTATTTTAACGCCAAATTATAAATGCATCTGTTTTGTGAATAGTATGGCAAAAATAACAATTTCACTTTCGGGTTGTATCAGTGGGGCTCTTAATATGCACCGGGACTTGGGCAGAGGTAGTGTACATAAAGAAGAAAATTGGAATAGTCACAAAAACGCACAGGTAAACTCCGTAGTTTGCCTGTTATCAATATGTTAAATATGACATGGTTTTAGTAATTTAAGGTGAATTCAGTTGGAGAACCCGTTGGCACTCTTTGATAGGGGAATTTTAATCAGTTCGACCAAAATGATGTTTCTTTGAAATTAATTAATTCATTATGTAATTAATCTTGGTCGTACTTGTGGGCAAATTACAATATTTATTCAAAACAGATTTTCATTGTTACACAGTTAGAACTCTCACCTCAAGCATAGCTATTTTAATATGGCGAATGGCGAATGTTAATGCTCAATATTGACTTTTGATATGTCTGTATATAACCTTCCTATACGAGCTGAATAATTTGATAATTGATATTTGTGAAAGAGTAAAGTGCAGCTATGGCATGGAAGCACACTCCAAATTAAGCCATCCTTTTGTCGATCGTCGCCAAAATGTCCCGTTTATGCCAATGACCTTCTTTCCCCCACAGTTAAGAGGGATAACCAAAGTCAAGAGAATATCACCGTCGTCGGTGGGGAACTGCTGCGATACCTCCAGGAGAACCGTGACAGGTCTCGTTGTTACTGTGAGAAGGTATTCAAGAAACTCCTAGATGAATTGAAAAACCGCCTTAGCCCAATACCAGATGACTACACAGAGAAAACCTTAGAAGCAGACCTAGCAAAACTAAAGGAGTCTTACCTGCAGCAGGCTATAGGGCCCATGAAGTTGGACGTGCTGCAAGAGAGGTGGGAATCATCCGATATGACTGGATTCTTTCAAATGTGCAAGGTATTTACATGTAAAATATGAAACGTTACGGACATTGGACAGTGTACGTTGAAGCGTTTTACATTAAGAGTGCTTTCCTTTTTTAATTTGTGTCATATTGATGAGACGAGACTTAATGGTCATACGGAAATTTTATGAAAATTCTACGTTCAGGTGTACAATGCAGATTTTGATGTTTATAATTGAGGTTTTGAGAACTGTTTTTATGTACAGACACATCGCCGTCGCTGTTGTGTACTGTCAAAGATAAAACGATGTGGCCAAATGTCTTATAAACTTAAAGTAATAAGGACAACATGAACACCCACTCGTTTGTTAGCTTTCCAAAAGCTAAAGAAGAGCAAAAGAAAACAATTCATTTCGAGTAACCCCGTATATACAAGTTCAGCCGGTAAATGTTCGCCAATAAGAGCAGTTAGCGAAACGTTACTAGAAGAGATCCAAAGCTGCACACAAGGCCGCACTTGACATATAGAGACAGCTTGTGTCTTTTAAATCAATATAAACATCAATACAAAATATCCTCAGAGTGCCTAATGTGTGATTTCATCTTTTAACACTTTAACACTGCCAATCTTTTTCTCATCGTAGTCAATTTGGCCATTTTTGTCACTGTACAAGCGCTATTATTATTATTATTATTGTTGTTGTTGTTGTTGTTGTTGTCACATATCGCGTCTATTGATTAAAACACTCGCGTGTGTATTAGAAGTGTTTTATTTTACTTCTAGAAAGGAAATAAAGATGAAGATATCTGTGCGACTGTTTTGGTCAGTCACAAAGTAGAAAATTAGTATATGTTACAGCGAATAAAACACCTAATTATATAACTATAACTAATAAAATAAATACACTCGTTTAATAAAATAGCTATGTAAATAAGAATGCATCATGGCAATTGTACTTGAATAAATAGTTAGCTCACCTGTAGAAAGAAAATAGGTATGAAGATATTTATACGACCTATTTGGTCAGTCACCAAGTAAAGAATGAGTAAAGAGCGCCGCAAACGGCTCTAATCACGTGAATGAAAACCGCTCTTATTACGTGAAAGAAGCATCCATGCAATTGAAGTAAATGCTCGTCAAAGATAAATCACATGAAAAAAAGAGGGAAAGAAAGAAAGAAATAGGAATATTGGTGCAAGATGAAAAAGTGGATATGGCATCAAATTATTATTTTAATTGTTGTTGTTCTCATTATTATTATTATTATTATTATTATTATTATTATTATTATTTAATTCGTGTTACCTGTTGTTTATTTTGTTGTAATATTGTGTAAAATTGCATCAAACTGACAAAGACTATTTGATACATTACAATTTCTTGTTTTTTGATTGTACATTTTATTTTGTTGATTTGTTATCAGTAACTTTCACCTGTTCCTTTATCTTGTAGACAATCAAAGGATTTCAATTAAAAGTGGCTGAAGCTACGAGGAAACAAGAAGCCTTAGAAATGGAGTCTGAAAAACAGCAGCGCGATCTGCAAAACCTTCGTGAGGAATCTGAGAGGCAGAAGACTGAGCATGAAAAAGCAATAAAGGACATAGAAAATAATCACAAAGACTCTCTCGAAAAAGTATGTGCCTTGTGAAATCTCCTTCAGTACGATCCTCTTACGTAATATATAAAGTATAATATATAAAGTATATATAAAGTATAAATAGAAAATAACCAATAAAATAATGACTGGTGGGTGTTAAGTCATTACGCCCAAACAACTTCGTTCCGATTTCCTTTGTGTATGAAATAAACCATCATTTTCACAATGTTTTACATGCAACTTAATTTGACAGCAAGTTTTGGTGTCTAGTCATAATAATTTCTGACACTGCATGGAAGTTTGTACAAGATTGAATCATCTGTTACCTCTGTCAAAAATGATGAAACAGAAACTTTGTCATGGAATCTCGGTCCCTCAGAAACCCTGTGCTTTTTTCTGGAAATTTTGATCAGTTTAAGAGCTTAGAAAAATACAAATTCAAGACTGGTATGAGACCACTATAGTAGCTGTTAGTCTCGTATTTCGTGCCTCTGTTGAAAAATACCTTAGCACGGCTCAGTTTGACAGTACGAATAGTATCTATTACGATGCTTGTGCCCCCTTTTTGCAGTCACAGCTATGGCTGTGCTTCCTCTCTGCCTCCTATCTGTAGCCTCAGCTACCTCCTTTGGGCGACTTTGCAACGATCAATCTCCAACACATCATTTACTGCACAACTGCTGCAGCTGAATACACAGAAATTGTTGTAATTATTGACAAAAGTACTAACATAGAGAACAAGGAAGGCGACGGATTGTTGATTTTATAAACCGCTGTTAGCAAGTCTTGTTTGGAAAGGTCCACTGAAAATTGGTGCAATCTATCATTATGCGTGATAAAATCTAAACGACTGTAAGTGATTGTAAGCAACCCAGCAGGCATAGTTGCGTTGGATCAACGTTGAAAACAGGTTGCTACGTTGTATTGCCGTTGTTCCACCTAAATTCAAGGTAAAATCAACGTTGATCCAGCCACGTTGACTCAACGTTTTGGTCAATGACACAACCTTGCAGTTATGGCTTCTAATTTAAAATATTAATTATTGAAATCGTGATACTTTGTTTATCAAAACTGTAACTAAATTTATCAAAATAATAACAAAACGGTTTTAAAGTAAAAGTGACAGTTGTTTTGTAGCTTTAGTTAACTAGTGAATTTTCTTAACTTGTTATTCAGAAATACATTCCAATAAACTGAATTCCTTGCTAGGTCAGCTAACACTAGGAAGAATAAGTTGCTGTAAATGTGATGGAGTTAACAGTTCTTGGTAACCTGCTATTATAGATAGACAGGTTGAGGTGACTGTGACTTTGTTATATATATATAATATAAGAAGATAACTACAACCTTCATTATATATATATGTATAAGAAAAGAACTATATATATTAATCTAAACCTTGGAAATTTTAACTTAAAGGCCATACATTTATACCCTACATATATTTAGCCATCAAAAATGTCCTACTGCTAAACACATCAAGGCTAATTTCCCGCTGGGTGGGGTTGATATAACGTTGTTTTCTGACGTTGATACAACGTTGTTATCTGAGGTTGACACAACTTTCAAATCCAACGTTTATCCAATGTCTTCTCAACGTTATGGTTCAACGTTTTTTCAACGTTAAAACAACATAATTTGCCCGCTGGGAATGTTAGCCATGGGATTTTTTCTGATATGAGTCCAGGAAATAGAGATCAACAAAATAACGAAAATGCCATCCCCCCCCCCCCCCAAAAAAAAAAAAAAAAAAAAAAAAAAAAACAATAATAACAACAAAAGCGATTATATGAAGTAGGCAGAAAAAAAACAATACTTCTTTAAAAAATTATTTTGTATTTTATTATAATAATATAACGACACTTTGTATATAACGTTTTGATCTCTGTAATACTTGCTTTACGCTCAGGTGGAATGTACCAAATTCTTATTTAGAACATCACTAATAGAAAGTGTATTAAACGTCTCAAATATGACAATTTCAGCTGCAAAAAAGCCAGGACGAGGAGAGGATTAAATTCGAGAAGAAAATGGAAGACCTACAGAAAGCTAATCAACAGGACAAAATGGAGATGATGCAGGTTTGTTACAAAAGCAAAGAAATTGCTAATTGAACCTTTATGTAGCAAAAACCGAAATGTTTCTGGGAAATTTAGCACCTTTACCTTAATTGCCATCCAAAATTTAGGAATTAGAATCGGTCAACTTGTTTTTTAAGTCAGAATATTCTACTTTGACCAACACGTGAAAAATTCACCAATCCCCGTCCTTTTTATTAAAATCTATTAGTCTAGAAACATTAAACATGGACATGTTGAAATTTCTTCCTGATCAGAGAAATTGGAATATTGGTACACAAAGGTATAATGCTTATTACTTTTCTTAAAGGTTTATCTTGATAAATAAAAAAAATGTGAAATTGTTTTAACCTCAGATCAAGCTATATTGATGAAAAATGTGAAGGAATGCTTCATGAGCAGTATTTTTTTGAATGAGTTAATTTTTCTTTCGTCAATATTTTTATAATCTTCATGACGACAGTGCAGATTGTTTTAAGCGTTTTTTAATACAGGCTGCCCAAAAAAAGGCTGAAGAACAGACAATGAATAAAGCACTAGAACTGCAACAGCAAATGTTTGATATGAAGTTGGAACATCAACGGCAAATGACGGAGAAACAATTGCAAGCAGAACGTGATCTTCGAAGAGCAGAGGACTATTCAAGAGACCTTAAACAACGTAATGTTTTTCAAAGACTTTTTAATATGAATCCATAAAAACATGATTTTAAGAGACATCAACCATAACAATGATTTTTCTGTACATGCTTATCAAGTATGCTTTTATTTCAATTATCCAATGACTTAGTTGCCTATACATATTATATTTTTCAAGTGTGGAACCTTTATATGAGAACCTACATATAATCACATTATCTGTATACCACGCATGGCTTAGAAGTATGGTACGCGTATTAATAATACCTATAATTGTATATGAGACAAGTGCTGAAAAAAGTGAAGTCAATTACGGGTGACCCTGGTCACCCAGCAAATAGTTTACTTATGCCTATGCCATCAAGTCGACTGTGGTCATTAAAGAAAACGTCCAAAGGCACTGAAAATAGCTTTTACGTAGTTATAATGAGCAAAATGGATTTTAAAGGTACATACGAACCGAACATCGGTGGAGCGTGGATTCCCAGTAACACATGTAAACCACTTCTACTAGATGCTTATTTGACTCAAATAATCACTCAATCAGCCATAAAAGACCTTTAGACTGCTCCTTTCTTTAAATTTTGGTTGTAAATTTAACCTACTTCCGTGACCTACTTTCCTGCCCCATTGACATACAGCTTAGAATGCCAGCAGAAAAATACGTTCAAACATCATTTTCGGTTAAAATTAAACAATACCTTTTGGTAATTCTCTTAGTTATACTACTTGCAACTATATGCTGGCATTTGGTTGGTTTTTGTAACAAAAAATTGACTTTGTATGCATCTTTAATTATTTTATTATANCATTGACATACAGCTTAGAATGCCAGCAGAAAAATACGTTCAAACATCATTTTCGGTTAAAATTAAACAATACCTTTTGGTAATTCTCTTAGTTATACTACTTGCAACTATATGCTGGCATTTGGTTGGTTTTTGTAACAAAAAATTGACTTTGTATGCATCTTTAATTATTTTATTATATTTTACTTTATCGACATATCATATCAATTCTCATTTTATATTTTTATGTATACATATGACAATAGATTATTATTATTATTATTATTATTATTATTATTATTATTATTATTAATAAACCTTAAATTAGACACTATTACGCTGGATATATGGACACGTGGTGAGAAATAATATATTTCTAAAATGAGTCAGTTTATTGATTTTAATGTTTTGTAAATGTAGGCCGCAGGCATCTCAGTTCGATAATTATTTAGATTATGATGAATGTCCTTGACAACCTTGCATTATAGTACTGAAAGAGATTTATGAATGACCTTATTTGAATTGGCGGCAAGTTGTATTTGCCTTGATTTTATTAGTTGCTTGATGTTATATAAGTCTACGCAGTATATTAAAGAAAATGTCAGAAAAAATACAGCTGTAATGTTTTAATCTAAGGCGATGTCTCTTCTAATTTTAGTTAATTCAACCATTTATTTTTCGCCGTAGAGAATTTCAAATGTTATTTTATTTACGCAATGCAAGTATATACTAACTGTCCACAAAAATGTCCCAGGAAGTCTTTACACGTACGAAATGGAACTTTCAATCGTTTATTCACCGTCTGCCTTTTAATACAATTTCACAAGTATTTAAACTCTATTACTCCGTACTGATAATGCGTTTGTTTGTTTTCTTTCAATTGTCTTTGCGTGATTACAAGGAATTTTCCATTCTCATATTGCAAACCACTATTCAACATTTCCTTATTAGGAAATCCCTAAGAGAATTGTTTTCAATTAATGATATCTAAAATATTATTTGCATTACTCATACTTGGACCTTTTCCAAAACTCAGTTTTCAACATAAACAGTTGATGAAACACACACACACACACACACACACACACACATAATGAAATTAACCAATCACATAAGCTGTTACTGACTTTGACTTTTTTTCATCTATTTCTGACACTAAAACAAGTTTAGCAGATTTATCCGCCGTATAAAGTTATACGGCTCTCATGCAACCCGTATAAGAACCGTATAAGTTACACGGCTGATTTATCCAGCGTATAGTGCTATACGGCTTTCATACAACCCAACCCAGAAAATTATGTTTGCAATTATTGTCCTTTTATCATATGTTCATTCCTTGGTAGAATTTAGTTAAGAGGAAAATTTGGAAACATGCTCAGCAACAGATTTGTATAAAAAGGTAATGATTCTTAGGTGCATAACGTTTCTGTATAACCATGCATGTAGAGAAGATAAAACTGATATTGTTTCCTTCTTTGATCAATGTTATGCTTTATTTCAAATTGTTCATGCTTGAAATTAAATGCTTAAAATTTAATAAAAAAGTGTCGGCAGTGCTTTGTATTAGTACTTTCCAAGGAATAAAACTTCACAATTCAAACTATATACTGGTGACTGTCGTATGCTTCATACAGTACATGGACTGCGATACTGCAATAAGCCTGGATAAACTGTTATCATTCACAGATAATTATGCACCTGTTATAATTGGTGGGTTGCAAGGAGGCCCTGACCTGGTCCAACAGGCCTAGTGTACAGGAAGAGTTAGACCCCCACAAGGAAAAGCCCTGAAAGCTAGAATGAATGGAAAACAGACAATAACATGATCTACAAGTCATGATACCCCAGTATCAGGGTAATAAACAGTTAACTTACCTACGATCCATGAGAATGGGAAAAAGGAAAAACCCACGAAATAGGGGAGGATAGTAAACAGTACAATTGCCTGCAACCCAAAAAGGGGAGGAGAATAAACCTGTAAAGGTAAAAAATAAATGGGAAAATTATGCGCAATCGATGGAAAGTGGGACAAAAAGAGACAGGCAACCTTTAAAAGTGCGGCAAATTATAAGCAGTAAAATTATATGCACCCCCCCCCCCCAAAAAAAAAAAAAAAAAAAAAAAAAAAAGAAATGAAAATAAAGTTCCTTTTTTATGTCGTCTTTACAGGCCTCGAAAGGAATGAACGTTGACACAATAATGTTTATTCGCCCATTGTATAAATATATTATAAAATACACATAAAACGGAATTTGTATTACCATCTCCGGTTTAAGGAAGAACAAATAAATAAAATATTACCTGCAAAAAATATATATAAGTTAAGAGTGATTGGCTAAATTATTATGTTTCACTATAACAAAGAGATGTGGCCTTTGGATAAAGGATTTTTTAAAAAGTTAAATAGTTGAGAGAGTAGAATAGCTCATAATCTTTTCTGTTTGGAAAGCCACCCTTTCCTAATAAATGATGGGAGGTCCAATCCCACGATTCTTCTGCACGTCACGGTATGGGAAAAGTAAAAAGTAAAATTACCTGCAACGAATGAAAATATTTTTTTAAGATAGCAGGAAGAAAATTTTCTGTAACCCATGAATAGGAGAGCAAATAAACGGTAAAAACACTACAGCTTTTTTAAGATGAGAGGATAATAAGCAGCTAACTTCACTACAACCTGTGAAAAGTAAATGGTAAAATCACCTGCAATCCTCGAAATTATGGAGGATAATAAACAGTAAAAATACCTACAACCATTAGAAAGGGGGAGTGTAGTCAATATTGCAAGTGCTTGATACCCATTATATGAGATAATCACTCATTCTCAATATATATTATCAAATTATTCTAAATCACTGGGGACAGACAGGGTTAAATGTGGCATTTGTGTAAATTATTGAAAAGATTAAAATCATGCCTCAATTGTACGGGGAATGATTTTATTCAATACTTAGTGTAAGCCTATTTTTATAACGAAAAATTTAAAAACAATAATCATTTGGATAATATTTTCTGAGCATTATTCTATGAAATTGTGCGGACCATTTTGTTTGGCGCAATTATCTGTCTGGCAATGTCTGTCTTTTAAGCGCCATTCTGCCACAGATTAATACAATTTTAAAGCAATGCATAGCTCATTTTACACACTGCTAAACCGACCACTTGCATCCAAAATTTCAAATTTTTCTATGCAGTAGTTACCGACATATGGATACTTTTTTGACAGAACCATGTTTTGCCAAAGCCAAGCTTTGACCTGCCCAAAGGAGCACTACCCAATTAAATCACTGCATATTACATAATGCAGCAGCGCAACAAACCTGGTATTCAGTTAATTGGTAGCGACACACATAACTACACACTTCTACATTCACATATCTTATATGAGATTGGAGTTTTTTGAAAAAAGAACGCATTTTTACCCAAGCATACCTTCGAAACTGAAATATTCCATACTAAATGTCAAGTCTGTAGATTGAACTATAAAACTGAGTTCCCATGCCTAGATCGATCCAACAGGATCTATCTAACTCCATGGAAGTAGGCTTGTTAAGCAGTATAAATGTTCCTTGGGTCAAAATATTTTTTTATCCATAGAGACACACTCTATCGATGTATAAATTAGCATAAACTATGCAACTTAGGTGCCAAAATATATGTCTTCATATTTCCATTTATTTTTGGCCTAGAAACATGTATAGATTTACAAATCTGACTAAATTAGGGAAAAGGAACCCATTTGGCAGCCGAGCTGTATCCTCCCCAGGGAGGTGAGACCGTCAACAGTGCACCAATGCAAAAATTACTAGGCTTCTATGACTTGAATAAAAATTTCATTTAAATAAATAAATTACATAATTGTATAACTTCAACCTTCGATTTTATATTATTATTATAATATCATTATTATTTGGGATATTATGGAAGCAATTGTTGGCCATTTTGTGCCTCAAATCCAAGATGACCGCCACCCGTCATTTTGAAAGTGGACATATTTTTGCTGTTTTATGTTGAATTTTGAATCGTTTGGTATATA